GACGACTGTGGCTTATAATAAATTTCAGTTTTACTCAATTATTGAAAAAAATAGCCAAACGAATGGAAACACATGAACTATGAACCAAAGGCTGAGGGGCCCCCAGCTGGATCAGGCCCTCTGAATAGGTGGAAGCCAGTCTGAATCTGAAGTCAGGCAGAAACAACAGCTCCAACAGATGCGATCTAAATACCAGCAAAAGCTAAAGAGAGATGAATCTCTGCAAATCAGGAAGGAAGCTGAGGAAGCTGAGCTCCAACAAATGAAGGCGATCCAGAGGGAGAAGAAGAACAAACTAGAGGAGAAAAGGCAACTTCAAGAAAGCCTCAGAAGTGACGCATTCCAAGAGCATCACCAACACAAAACTGCTGAGTTCTTGAGCAGACTGGACACAGACCAGAGAATGAGAACTGCCTGTCAAACTGCTCTTCGTGCTTCCCAGTCCTCAGTATGGGCCAGTAGCCAAATACACAAGGATTCTCTACGGAAGGAAGACAACCAAAAATTGCAGAAGATGAGGGATGGACAAAATCAGAAGAATCAATTACTAGAAACTAAAGGACGACACCAAGAGAAAGAAAGAGCCCAAATCCTTCAAGCTGAGCACTGGAGGGTAAATAATGCTTTTCTGGACCGACTCCAAGGCAAAAGTCAACCAGGTGGCCTTGAGCAGTCTGGAGGCTGTTGGAATATGAATAGTACCAACAGCTGGGGTATATGAGAAACAGTCACTACCATCGGGCTTTCTTCAGCTGACCTTGAAAACCCTTATGAGATGCTTTTCCTTCATGCAATTTTGTTTGGCTTTAGTTTTTATACCTCAACTTCAACTGCCCACCTACTCAGCCGAGGGGTTGTGGGTGGCCAGTTTTCCTCTGTCATTAGTTATATGTGGATTTAGAGGCTCATTACCGACTCGTGTTTAATCTCTACTGCCAGCATAATGTTACCTTATTTCTCCTAATTAGTTCTGCCTCTTATTAGAAGGCTAATTAGAGCAATGTTAGTAAAATAGTAAAAGGGAATTACATGACATTCAAGGTAGTTAGAGCTGTGGATGCTGTAGGCTTGTGTCCCCTAATTGACTTTTTTTTTCTTTACTTATTCTTACAGCAGGTTTGGGGATCATTCGGGGTCTTTCTGAATTCCTATTTTCTTAATCTACAAATCTGAGCAAAAGGAGATCCCTTATACTTTTATAAAAAAAATTTATAAATAAATTCCCAACTATTTCTGTAAAAAAAAAAAATGGCTCTGGAGTTGGATTATTGCCCTTCTTCCTCACACTCAAGCACGCTAGCTTTTATTTCCTCCAAATGTCTGTCCTTGATCAGCCAGGTGACCTGGCTGCATGACAAGGAGGAGAGCAAAACAGAGCAGCTCAGGGAAAGGCATCCTGTGTTTTCAAATAACTGAGAAGTGAACTATTTACAACAGGGATTACTGCTGCTTACCTTATATTCCCTTTCAAGGTTTTATTGGACTCTCTATGTACTTCCCTCTCTTCTGTCTCTAATACCTTTCTGAATTATAAAATTCAACTCAATATTTGTAGGAACAGTGCATAAAATGTCTGTATCTCAGAATTTTTAAGTTCATTGGGTATAGTTTTAAAGAAAAATCTTTAATATCAGTAACAAAAGGTTAGCTTAAAACTTGTAACAAAAGGGTTGATAGTTAGAAATCTACAGCATGATTGCAGCTAACTTGGATTCAACTTCTGTTTATGAAAACAGATGATTTTAAAAAGAAAAATGGGGTACACCTGATGAATTCACCTTGGAGTAAATAACCATGATGTAGCTTGCTGATATCTTAGGTGATGACCTCATCAGGATGGAAGCAACCATGTGGCTGGCAACAATCTTTACTAAGGTTAAAGAGATGACATACCATGTGACTTCACAGCCATCTTGGTTAAGGTGATCACATGGTATAAACCAATGAAGGTAACACCCATAAAACTTCTAAGTCCTACAAAGCCCTCTGCTTACCACTGTATATCCTTTTTTTTCTTTTAGACTAAAGAGGCAATAGCAGACCTCCAGTCTGTTTTGGATTGGTATGGACATTTGTATAATGTTGAGAAAAAATAACTGATGAGGACAAATCATGAACAATGCTTATAAAAAATAGGACTTTAAAAAACATGCTTGATAATTAAAGTTCATGAATTCCTAAGGTTATAAAGGGCTACTCAGGTTAACAGAAACTGACTTAGAGATGTATATCTAACCACTTATGTATTTCTAACTGTGTTCAATACCAACTAGGTTTCTAAAAAACAATACAAGTTTTAGATAAGAAGAATATTTGATGAATAAGGTTTATGAATTTCTAGGTTCATCCAGGCTAGCAAAACCTGACTTGACAATGTATTTCATGCCCCCTTGTCTTTGCTAACATTGTTAAGCTTTAGCTATTTGGATAAACTAAGTCATACAAAATTCTGCAAAGGTATATGATTGATGGATCAGGAAAAGTAAAGTTCCCAGTCTCTCTGTAAACTGTATTTAGGGTTTATTGTTTTATTTTCATACTAAAAAATCTTCAATTCTAATTTGAAGAAAGACTGAAACTTAAGAGAAACAAAACTTTAAAATCTAAATATTATAAAAAGCTACTAACCTGCTGTACAACTGCTGAAGATAATTAAGACACAGTCAGTCACCATATAAATGATCAGATTTTTTTAATGTGCTCAGGAGTATGTGTATAATCATGTTAAGTATGTAATTCATTTCAAAGAACAAGCTTTAGCCTTCTGAATATGTTATCTATGTTAAGCTTGAATCAAGTAACTAAAAACAAGCAAAGTTTGTTTCAAATCAAGTATACTTAATAAAAGATTATGTGACTGCCCTCAAACCCTTCAGAGAGATCTGCTGAACATAGCATTCAAGGTGCTTAATGAAAAAAGGCTTCCCATGACAGACAGAAAAAACAGCTTCTCATAGCAGCAGCTGAGGTTGTCTCCAAAGAAATGGGCAGCAATGGACTCTGCCTGGAACTTGCGTCAAGTGTGGTAATGCTGACCACTTGGCAAAGAACTGCTCCATGTATCACCCATCACCAGGCCTCTGGCCAAACTGTGAACACTGTTGGTTCGACCACTCTGCTATCTCTTGACAAGATAGGTCACGAACTTTCCGAAGTTCTTTCTCCACAGGAAAGTCTTTGAGACCTTCTGGGTCTGCCATACGAGTGCTGGCACTGCCCTGGGCAGTCAAAGGCTTAATGATATCCTGTATGACAGCCAAAGACTGATGCCCTCTGCCCACAACAAATCCACTAGATCACTATGTAGCACCCGACTCTGGCTGTCTATGTAGTGGGTCCCTAATTATCTTAATTGATAAAGAGGCCAGTTGGTTTATTCTTCCTGTTTAAATTTAGCCTTCTCAGATCTCTGTGATTGCTTGATAGGGAGACCCAGCTTTCT